GGCTGAGTCCTGGGACCTGGAACTGGGACTGCTGCCTGCTGGTCACCCGCTTGTCCTAGCTCTGCTGGCTTTGAACTTGATGTTGGCTGGCTAAAAATGTGTATCAAGACAAGAAAAAAAAAATTTTTTTAAATAAATAAAGTTTTGTCTTGGTAAAAATGGTGGTGCAAACAGAGGGAACGACTTCTGCAGAGCAGAATTCAGATCCCACTGATAAAAACTGGGTGACCTTGACCCGGTTTTCCAGAGCTGGGCAGAAGCTGCCTTTCCACATCTTGTATAAGGAAGGTAAAGGAAGGTTGTGAAGAGGATTAAAAAGTCAGGGGTAGCTTTAAACTCTTCTGCACATGAACTTTGGGGCTGGATAGGCGCTCAGCATTATTTCTAGGGTTGACTCTACTGAGTGTTAAGGGGAACCCACTTAGAAATGGGCCTGTAAAGTAGGGACTCTGAACATTTTGAAATTTATTTCACATTAGCAGAGAGATGAAATAATGAAAGTTGGAAGATAATATGCAAAGCCCTGAACTCTTGGGTCAGGCTCATGAAATGATAAGCTATTATTCAAATTCGAGGTTACATTGAGGTATATCTCTAGTTTCTTAGAAATGCATAGTTTCATGCATATCGATTTTAAAGAGTAATAAAATGATTTGAGTGGCTTGGAAGCCGCCTCACCCCAAGGTTAACCACCTATTACTTACTACTCTTCTTTTCCGTTTCCTCTGCATATATATGTCATTAAGCAATATTTCGTTTCTTTTGCCCTGTTTGGGGACTTTAAGCAGAATCACGCATGGATTCTTTTGCAGTTTTTTCCTTCAATGTGTGTTTTCAAGATTCATACATGTTACTACCTGTCCTTGTGGCTCATTAATTTTTATTACTGTGCTATTCCATAGGGTGAATCGGACCATAGGATTAGATTATGCTGTTTCTGGTATTTTGTTCTTAAAAACAATATATATGCCTATTCTTGGAATACCTCTCATGCACACATATAAGACTTAATTCTAGGGGATCTTGAAGCTGAATTGGTGGGCCATAGAGGATGCATGAAATCACATACATTACTAAGGTGTTGCACAATTGCTCCTCCAAGTGGTTATACCGGTTTGCTCTCCTGGTAGTATATAATAGTTTCTTTCAGTCTGAAGCTTTGCTAACTGCTGATTGATATTTAAAATTTTTGCCATTCCTGCAGTAATGAAGTGGCTTGAATTTTACATTTCCTTGATGAAATTCACATGTTTACGGTTCATTTGAATTTCTTCTTCTAGGAAACGGATTGGGTCTTTTGCTTATTTTTCTACTGAGTTGTTTTGTTTTGCAGATTTGTAGACTTTCATTATATGTTTTGCATACTAACCCTTTGGGTATGTATATGTGTTTATAAACATACATATATGACTTTTTATTTTTCTTTCTATGGGATATTGTGGTCCAGTGAAGTTTGCGAGTTGAATGTAGCTGAACCTATCATTTTTTTTCCCTTTATAGTTTGTTCTTTTTGGGTATTTATTTTGTTTTTGTTTTTGGCACCAGGGATTGAACCCAGGGGTGCTTTACTGACTGAGCCACATCCCCAGCCATTGGTAACCATCCTTCTACTTCCTGTGTGTGAATTTGACTACTTTGATTACCTCATCCACAAATCATACAGCGTTTGTGTCTTGTGTCTGGCTTATTTCCCTTAGCGTAATATCTTCCCGATTCATCCATGTTGTAGCACCTGTCAGAAGACGGGCCCAGTGAAACTCCACATTACGTACAACCACAAAAATGGGATCCTAATTCGGAGAGGTTATGCTGCATGACTGTATTTATATATAAAAAGAACAAATAAAAAATTTAAGAAAGAATTTCTTTCCCTTTTTAAGACTGAACAGTGTTCCATTGTAAAAAAATAGAGCACATTTTGTTTGTCCATGCAAGCATTAGTGGACAACCTGAGTGGCCTCTACCTTGGCTGTCGTCGATAATCTGACAGTGAACATAAGCATATAGGTGTTGGTTTGAGTCCCTACTTCTAGTTCTTTTAGGTACCTTGCTAGAAATGCAATTGCTGACTTATAAGGTCTTCGTGTTTTCAATGTCTTGGAGAACACTGTTTTACATTCCTACCAACAGTGCACGGGGTTCCGATTTTGCCACATCTTCTTTAACACTTGTTGGTTTGTGTGTGTGTGTGGTTTTCTTAAAGCAATAGTTATCATGATAGATGAGGTGGCATGTCATCGTGGTCTGACTTGCATTTCCATAAAGATTAGGGAGGTTGAATAGTATGTGCTCATTTCCCATTGGTGTATTTTCTTTGGAGAAATATCTATGCAAGTGCTTTGTTCAAGTGCTTCCGTTTTAAGTTGTGTTTAAGGTTTTTTGTTACTAAGCTTTAGAAGTTCTCTGTATCATATAGGGTGTGATCCTTTAGCTATGTCATTGTAAACCATCCGTGAAGTTGCTTGGCTGATTTTTTACTTAGTTGATAGTGTCCTTTGCTGCACCAAACCTTTTGTGTTTTGTGAGATCAAATTTGTCTGTTTTCTCTTCTGTTCCTTGTGCCTTTGATGTTATATCCAAATCCAATATCTTTGCCCTGTGTCTTGTTTTATTTTTCATTATTTATTTATTTATTTTTTGTCCAGGGACTGAACCCAGGAGTGCTTAACCACTGAGCCACATCCCGTACTTTCTCTTTTGGATGGTCTTGGCACCCTTGTCAAAAATCAAGACTCTATTCCAGAACTCTCCATTCCCTTCTCTTGCTCTGTGGGTCTATATTCAGGCCAATCTCCTTATGTTTGATTATTGTAGGTTTGTGGTAAGTTTTGAAATCAAGAAGCAAGAGGTGTCCAGCTTTCAAGATTTCATTTTTTGGGGGGTGGGGGTGTGCTATATAAGACTCCCTGAGGTTCCATCTGAATTTTAGGAAAGATTTCAATTTTTGAAAAAAGAAACATCATTGAGATTTTTGATAGAGATTGCATGGAGTCTGTAGCTTGCTTGATGTATTATTGACAACAACTTAAAAGTCTTCTAATCCTTGAAACACAAGATGTCTTCCTATTTATTGGTACCTTTTATTTCTTTCAGCAGTAGTTTGTAGTTTTTAGTGTCTAAGCCTTTACCTTCCCGGTTAAGCGTATTCCTAAGCAGTTTAATTCTTTTCATGCCGTTATTAATGGAATTCTGAATTTCCTGGTTGACTCATCCATCATTAGTATATGGAAAATAACTAGTTGTCATGACTTTGTGCCCTGCAACTCTGCTGATTTTGTACATCCTAACAATTTTGATGTGTATGTGTCTTTGAAATCTTCAAGTGTTGTACATATAAGATTATGCTGCTTGTGAACAGAGATGATTTTACTTCTTTTCCAATTGCGACAAGAATTTGTTCGATTCATTTTTCTTGCCTTATTGCTGTGGCTAGGACTTTCAACGCTGTGTTGAAATAGAGTGGCGAAAGCAGGCTTCCTTTCTGATCTTAAAGGAAACATTGTCAATATTATGCTATCATGTGTGATGCGACTTGTGGGAAGAGCTCTGGAGTTCTTTGCTCTCATGGTCTGCATCTCCACTGGGCCAAAACTCTGAGGTCTTGTTTAAGAACTAGGAGGAGCATCTGGACACAGTGGCACATACCTGTCATCCTAGTGGCTCAGGAGGCTGAGGCAGGAGGATGGAGAGTTCAAAGCCAGCCTCAGCAACAAGCAAGGCCCTAAGCAACTCGGTGAGACCCTGTCTCTAAATGAAATACCAAATAGGGCTGGGGATGGGGCTCAGTGGTTGAGTGCCCCTGAGTTCAATGCCTGGTATCTGCCCCACCACTACCCCAAAAGGATGCTGGGAGTGGGGACGGGGACTGATGAGCAGGACTCTATAAGGGGATTTCTTTTTGGCTTGCCTTTCCCAGCTTGGGACTTCACCTTACAGGTAAACTGTGATGGTGGGGATCATGGTCCCAGTATTTCCCTTGTGCCACAGCTGGGGTATGTGGCTTTTGATCTCAGTGGGGCCGCTGGAGCGCTGAGCCTCAGTGACTCAGAGTGAGAGGTGGCAGGGGTGAGAGGTGCTGGTGCCTGCTATTCTGAGAGAGATTGGGAGCTTGTTTTCTAGGCCACACTTCAACTGGGGTTCCCATAGGCTGACCTCGGGCAGGGCAGGGAGGGAGGAGGAGGATGTACAGCTCTGGGCTGGACTCTCCCTACTGTTACTGAGAGTTCATTGATTTCCTTGCATAAACGTTTCTTCATTTGCTGAAAGCTCTTAGGAAATTTCCAGAGCCTGTGAAAATGATTTTCGCTGTTGCACATGTGTTCCCAGTAGGCCAAGGGCTCTAGGTTCAGTTCAGATGGAAATCGCCAGCAGGCAAATACAGCTCCCTTACCGGGCGCAGTAACAGCTCTCCCTGTTCTCTTGTAGCAGCTCCAACTAACAGCTCACCCTGCGGCCGGAGCTAGCAGCTCACCCTGCGGCCGGAGCTAGCAGCTCACCTGGCTGCCTTACCTGCAGCTCCCAGAAACTCGCCTTCTCATAGTTACTCTCTGTCACCAGTTCTCACTTCTGGCCTCTTTGAGTGCCAGCAGCCTTTAGTGTTAACAGCTCTTCCTGGACCTAGCTCAGCCTACTCTGCTCCAGGTGAACATCATGAATCGGCAAATAATACCCCCTGGAAGGGTTTGTTGGGACTTAGGGGAAGCAGCACAGACTGAGCTCGTGGAGGGTGGGAGGAGGGCTGTGTGTGTGGACAGAAAGGACAAGGCTGGGCATGTACACAATGTCCTGCCTGCTGTTTTTTTTTTTTTGCTTGGTCACGTGTAGGGGACAGGCTCCGCATGAACCAGAGTGAGGCCATCGGAAGCAGCCTCAGAGGGACGCCGTTGTCCCACCAGGCTGACCCCAGTGTGTGCAGGGCCTCTGAAGCTGCATGTTCTTTAGCTGCAGCCAGGAAGCATGTGCAGAGGCCAAGCTGTCAGGATGGCTGCTCAGCTGGGCGGCCCATGAGGTGGCCACTGGGCAGTGTGCTCCCGGGTGATGGGAGTCCCTGAACAGCCAGTGTGGGGCGGGGACACGGTGGCTGTCAGCCAAAATACATGTGTCAAGAGCAGAATGGAAAAACACCTTTGGATTGGCAGATTGGGCCTCTGTGTCTTCTCACACGCTTGGCTGTGGAGTGGACCTTCTGGGTGGAAGTGGACCTCTGGGTTTTGTGTAAAGTGCTGAGAGCGCTGAAGGGTTTTGATGGGTTTTGTTGTTGTTGTTGGTACTGATGGTTGAACTCAGGGGCACTTAACCCCTGAGCCCCATCCCCAGCCCTTTTCTGCATTTTATTTAGAGACAGGGTCTCCCTGAGTGGCTCAAGGCCTTGCTGTTGCTGAGGCTGGCCTCCACCTTGCGATCCTCCTGCCTCAGCCTCCTGAGCATGGATTATAGGCATGAGCCAGCATGCTTGGCTGCACTAAAGGGGTTTAAGGAATGTGGCACAAAGCGGGTTTGAAGAGGTCACTTTGACTGCCATTTTGAAAACCAGAAGGGACAAAGCTGGTGCAGGAAGAACTTTTGGGATATCACTGAGAAATTCTATTAGTAAATATTGATGGCGCATACTAAGATATCGGCTGTGGGGAACTAAGAAGATGAAGCAGTTCAAGATGGAGAATTCAGACTTAGTGATTACTGTAACACGGTGGGGGTGGGTGGGAGCGAGTTTGGGGCTGGACCATGTTGCCCAGTGACTCCTTTGCAGTCGTTCCAGTGCCACTTTGGCTCCAGGTCCTGATCCTGTGGGTCCAGGGGACACCCATGCTGCTGTTTTTCTGTCCCCTGTCGCAGCAGCAGTCTCTGGGGTTTCTTATTTACGCCAATGATGGACCACACCTGTTTCCCCTCCTAGAGGGCCGCCACCGTGTCGTGTCCATCTTTGTGTCTCAGTGACTTAGGACAGCAAATGACCCGTCCTGGGTGGGTTGGAAAGAAGGCGAGTTGCTTTTGGAAGATGTGCCTTTGGGACATCCTGGTGTCACAAGAGAGATTTGAGCACAAGTTGCAGATTTGGGAGCTGTTATAGTGGGACTGGGAGGTGTCCCCAGAGCCCCTGTGGGAGGTGACACAGGAAGGTCCAGAGGAGGAGTGAGGGGTGTGAGGCCTGAACCCAGCACTGAATGGCTCCCTGGGGTCCCCTGGTGGCCCCTGGTGGCAGGTGGGGTGTGGGGAGGAGGTGGCCCTGGGGCTGTGGCTTGGGGTCTCTCTTTGTCCCTGGAGAGTGGAGTCCCTGCTCCCTGGTCCCCATGGGAGCTGCTCCTTCCCCACACTCTTCCTCCATGATGTCCTGCCTCCCCTCGGCCAGGAGTGGGGCCACCGTCTGTAGACATCCTGAGCCCCAAGTCCACCTGTCCCCCTCTGCAGGCTCCCTGTCTATCTACAACTAGAAAAATAAATTAAAAAAACAACAGGCCCAACTCCTATTCCCAAAGAACATTGTTGTGGCCATCTCTTATTCTTCTGCCATGTTTCCTAACTTGTTGAAAATGGATCTTTGTTACAGGTGAAAGAACTCTTTTCTTCTCTGGGAGTGGACTGTAACATCTTGGAACTTGATCAACTCGGTGAGTAGAGAGTCGGTGCCCCGTGGTGTCTGCAGCGCACGCCAGCAAGATTGACTTCTTCCCCTGGGCTTGCTGAAGTTCAATTTGCTCTTGTCTCTTTGGGTGAGATGAGCCATTTTTGTGTATGTTCCACCAAGCAGAAAATGAGTCCTTATGTGACAGATCATTTGGGGTAGATTTTCTTATTATATGGTTTTCATATTTGAGGGAAGGGAGTGGGAGGAAAATATGTAAGCTGCTTACTTGGAATATTTGAGGTATTTCAAATGGATCTGCCAACTCTCGAGCAAAATAGCTGAAGCTGTAATGAATGAAAGAAATAGACTTCCTCTTCCTGGTTCTGTCACCCACGGAGGGGAGCACAGGGAGATTTCACTTTTATCCTTTAGACTCCGTGGCATCTGTGCGTTTGATTCATTGAACACTTTGCACACGGGGTGCTTTGCAGGGTTGGGGACACTCATGATCAGAAAACACCTGATCTCTGTCTTCATGAAACTGGCTA